TCCTTTCATAATTCTTCACATTTTAAAGTCCTCCTTTTTCTTATTCACTTTCAAGTATAAGAATAATTGATTTTAAATATGTTAAAGAATCTCCTCTCTATTTACATTCTGGTTATAATTAAAATCTGTTCTGACAAACAAATATTTCAGTAAGATATCATTTCTCTTTAAATTATTTTGGAATGTAAGCAGTTTAATTCATAGATGTATTCTACAACACTTTAAGACTATAATGGTTAAGTTTTTGAAGTTAATATCCTCTTATTTTTATTATATTTTTTAGTGTTTATTTTTTTTCTTTTCTTTTCTTTTTTTAAAAATTTTTAATGTTTTATTTATTTTTGAGAGAGAGATAGAGACAGCATGAGCAGGGGAGGGTCAGAGAGAGAGGGAGACACAGAATCCAAAGCAGGCTCCAGGCTCTGAGCTAGCTGTTAGCACAGAGACTGATGCGGGGCTTGAACCCACAAGCTGTGAGATCATGACCTTAGCCAAAGTCGGATGCTTAACCAACTGAGCCACCCAGGCGCCCCTTTTAGTGTTTAATTATGTTGAGAGAGAAAGAGAGAGAGAGCATGCACATGACTGGGGTCGGAGCAGAGACAGAGAGAGAAGGAGGGAGAGAATCCCACGTGGGCTCTGTGCTGACAGTCCCAACACAGGGTTTCATCCCATGAACTACAAGATCATAACCTGAGTCAAAATCAAGAGTCAGATGCTCAACTGACTGAGCCAGCCGAGGACCCCAGTTAATGTCCTTTTAAAAATTCAAATTTCAGACATACAAAAAGAGGATATGTGTTGGCCAATGTCATGAGAAGAAGCATAATAGAGAGTTTACAAAACTGAGATGTAAGAATTGTTCCTTACTGTCTGAAAGGGACTGACTGGAATTACTTTAACACATTGAGTAGCATATGGCTGAAGCATTTAAGTACAAGTTATCATTTCTAAGACCCTAAGTTTTCTATTGTTGTAGTAACAAATTAACAACAATTTCGGGACTTAAAACAACACCCAGAAGTGCAAAATGGGTCTCACCGAGCTAAAATCAAGGAATTGGCAGGGCTGTGTTCCTTGTAGAGACTTCAGAGAAGAGCTCACCTCTCTGCCTTGTCCAGGTTCTGGAGGCCCCCGTACTCCTTGGTTCAGCCTACTTCCTTCATCTTCAAAGCACTTCATTCCACGTTCTGCCTCCATCATCCCATCATCTGGCTCTGATTTTGACACTCACGCCTCTGTAATATCAGGACTCTTATGATTAGAATGGACTCACCAGATAACCCAGAATAATCTCCCTTTCTCAAAATCCTTAACTTAAAAACAAATGCTAACTCTCTTTTGTTATATAAGGTAACGTATTCACAAGTGTCGCAAATTTCTATCCAGTTTGTCTTCACAATGACCATGGGATATATGTACTTGGATCTAAAAAGATAAAATTTAGGGAGCCTTTTTTTCATTTTGAAGTTATTAGTCCATAGTCAATCATTGAACCTGTCTTGATGGAGACAGAGAGTAAGAAACAGAGGGCTAGGACCAAGCCTGGAGGCATTTCAGCTTCTCGAACCTGGCAGAAGATGATGATGTGGTGGAAGACATAGAGTGAAGAACTAGAAAAGCGTGGTCTCAAAAATCAATGAGAAGTTTTCCAGTTCTAATGCCAACTCCATGTGAGGCACCGGGCAAGGTATTTATTCCTTCCAATCATTAATTGCCTCATCGATGTCTTCTCCACTACGTTGTTGTGAGGGCCTCAATGGTGTAATGCTGTACAGCCTTTGGCTGGGAGCTTGCTGTTTAATAGCAGCTCCTCAGTGCCAGCTGTCATGGTCATTGCCATCGTTGCCACCACCATGGGCATCATTAAGGATAAAGTAGGATGCAGTCCTGGAAATATGGATGCAGTACTCAGATCTCTGTGGCCTTTCTCCAGGGTGACAAATTTCTCTTTGGCCCATGACTTTTGGCCACCGTGTCTCTCCTCAGACCTAGCAACTTCTTGCAAGGGAATGATCAGGCATCCTGATTCAGCTCAACACTATCTTTTTCTTCATTTTACTCGGATATTTACATTCAACAGGAATGAAAGAATGCACAAAAAACATAATACTCTGGAGTGTCCTTTTGTAAAAATACTATAGATATAAGGCAAAGGAAATTGATTGATCAGAACTTCGAGTTCTGAAAGATTTGGATAATTTTCTGAAAAATTCTATAAGAAAGTATGCTGGATTATTAATGAAATTTATACTTGAAAGTGCTTAAGAATAAATAGTTTCACTAAACTTTCTTTTCATTCTTTTGTGGTTAAATGAATTACTGAAAATCTTTAAAAGATCTTGTTGAGACAATAATTGCAAGTAGTCATTCAGCATTTGGGTTTCAGTCAAATAAAGCACAAGTGGGGAAAATTGTTTAAATATTAAAATTTTGAATCCATGTAACACTTAAAAGTTATGTTTTTTTCTTTTTATATCCACATATATCAATAAAAGATAACCTTGATCAATAATATAAGAGTTTAAAGGGTGCCTGGGTAGGTCAGTCAGTTAAGTGTTCAACTCTTGACTTTAGCTCAGGTCATGATCTCACAGTTTGTGAGTTTGAGCCCTGCATCAGACTCTGTGCTGATAACACGGAACCTGTTTGGGATTCTGTCTCTCCCTCTCTCTTCCCCTACCATGCTTGCTCTCTATCTGGCTTTCAAAATCAATAAAAGTAAACTTTAAAAAAGGATTTTAGAATAAAGAATTTTAATTCAAAACTAGAATGATTCAGACTTAAGCAGTAAAATATAGAAAGTTTTAAGTACTCTTAAAATCTAAAATTTCTGATTATAGGTAAAATTGTTTTCAAAAGAGTTTCTCATTCTCCTGGCAATAATTAGCAATCTCTTTAAATAATTTTAGTATTGTTTCTGTGGATAACATATGCCTTTTTTGTTACATTAATCTGCCAATATTTGAAAAATTAATCCCCTTACACATTTTAACTATATATATGTAATTTCAGTATACTTAACACACAATGTTACATTATTTTCAGTTGTACAACATAAGAATTCAACTTCTGTATACATTATGCTATGTTCATCACAAGTGTGGCTACCTTTGGTCACCATACAACACTACTACAATATAATTAATTATTTTCCTTATGCTCTGCCTTTTATTCCTGTGATTTATTCATTCTATAACTGAAAGTCTGTTTCCCCCTCTGCCCTTCACCCATTTTGCTTAATACCCCATCCCTTTCCCATCTGTCAGCTATTGATTTGTACTCTGTGTTTATAGGTATGAGTCTGCTTTTTGTTTGTTTGTTTATGCATTTATTTTGCTTTTTATAGTCCACATATAAATTAAGTCATATGGTATTTATCTTTCTGATTCTAACTTATTTGACCTAGATTAATACTCTTTGATCTATCCACATTATCACAAATGGCATTATCTCATCTTTTTTATGGCTACTTAGTATTCCATTCCATTATTTATATATATATATAATTATATACACACACAGATATATATATATACATATATGGGTATATATGTAGGTATCACATCTTCCTTATCTAGTGGTGTTTCAATGGACACATCATTAATTCAAAAAAGATATACAAGCTACTATGTTTATTGCAGCAATATTCGCAATACCCTTTAAATATTTTTAAATGTCATAGAATAATAAGTTGATTGCTTTCAAATACAGTGAGTTGCTGATCTATTATCAGAATTTCACAATAAAATCTAGGTGGGGAGCGTATCTTTTAATGCATATTATTATGCACAGAATTTTGTGTCAAGAGTATTTTGACAGAAAATAATGGTATTCATATGTTTTATCAGTTCTTTGTGTACTTATGATGAAAAGTAAGAGAAGACCACTTGCGATATGTACAGACTCAAAGCTATTAAACCAGCCATCTGCCCAAGTCAAGACTGTGCTCTCTGCCCAATAACACAAAGGCAAGACGTCTACTAGATATAATTTTTAATCTTTATCTTACTGTACTCTATCATATGAGTTTCTACTCCAAAAATAATGGGATATAGAGAATGTTCATCGCTAAATAAAAAAGATCATAAAGAGCATAGAGTTGTATTTACCCTCCCCTTAAAAGCTAACTAATCCATTCAATTGCACATTTGAAAAAAGTAAAGATAAACTGCCTAATACAACTTACTTCAAAACCAAATTGGATGAAACTACACAAAGGTAAACTTTTTTTCTTTAAAGGTCAGAAGTTTTCTGTTAGTATCCTTGATTTCTTGTTTCATTCTTAAAAAAAAACAAAAACAAAAAACCCCAAACTGAAAATTACACTGATGAAAAATGGATACCATTTATACAAGACAGATGACAGCAAGGAGGTAAACAAATCAAAGCCCTTATCTCCAAATCAACAGAGACAAGTTAATATACATATATGCACTTCAAGTTTATATAAAATTTATTAAAAAGTTTTATGGTTCTTACTTTAACTGGCTTTTTAAAATTAACCAATGATTTTTCTAACCTGATATTGTCAAATGATTTGGTCTATAGGACTCATTACTGGCAAAACTAAAGTGAGGCAGGCAGGCAGTCTCATACACTAGTGGGAGAGCGTAAGCTTATGAACGATTTATAGAAAGCATATGAACCTTAAACATTAGTACATCTTAAACACTTCTAAGAATCCCTCCTAAGAAGATAATTCTTTAAAATTTCGGGTAAAGACTTTATGTAAACATGTTTGAAACTAATATTTTATATATACAAGTTCTGGAATAAATGACAGTAGTGGAGGTCACACACACACCACACACATACAACGCGTGCGCGCGCGCACACACACACACACACACACACACACACACTGATATCACCACATGATAAAATTTTATGTACCTTTTGAAATAAATTGAGCATTTAAAGACATAGAAAAAAACTCCTAAAATTTTGTTAAATGATAGAATAGATTACAAATCTGTATGCAGAAAATTATTTCAACAGTGCTTGCTTCAGCAGCACATGTATACTAAAGTTGGAATGATACAGAGGTTAACATGGCCGCTGTGCAAAGATGACACACAAGTTTGTGAAGCTTTCCATATTTAAAAGAAAAAGAAAGAAAAGGAGAAGAAATGAAGAAGAGAGGAGAGGGGAGGGGAGGGGAGAGGAGAGGGGAGGGGAAGGGGGGGAGTGGAGGGGAAGAGAGGCGAGAAACAAAAAGAAAGAAGAAAATAAGAAAAGAAAAGGAAACTATTTCAATAAACATAAGAATAAATGGGAGAAACTCCATCAAAAGTACTTTTGGGTGTCTGTTTTACTTATCTTTATTAGCCTTTAGTCTTTTTCAAATTTTATGTGTATATATCTTTGAATCAGAAAAAAACCAAAATTTTAAAATTGTTTTGTAATAAAATCATCTGAAAACCAGATTTATAGCTTCATTCAAATGATTAGATACTTTTTTCTAAATTTTAGATTTTTTTCTCAATTTGGGAAAATTTCACATTGAAAAGTATGGGAGGGAGGCAGAGTTCCTGAAAATCATTCTTATTTTCTGTAGGACTTTCTCTTTGTAAGCATAGTTAATATGTAATATAAAAAACTTTTTGTTCTTTCCTCAGTTATAATAATTATGTTCCAATCACATCATTTTATTTGTAGTTTGGCAAAATATTGTGCCAAGGGCAGGCAGTAAAGATTAAGAACTGAGTAAGTAGAATTAAGAGATATTCTAAGAGAGCTGTACTTTCAGAAATGAATATCTCAGTTTGCTCTTTTGTGAAATTAGAGATCTGACCAATAGACCTCTATTTTCTTTCAGTACCAATGGATTATGCTCTTACACTTTTCTCTCCAAAGATCAGAATTTGTATCCAAATCGACCTTTGCACAAATAACCTCTCTCGACATATTGCTGCCGAAGAGATAAAGATCTTGCGACCTTATGTATGCTCTCAGGAGCACAACTTTTCCTCACCGCACACAGGTCACTTCCTAATTTCTTGGTCTCCGGCTTTCAGAGGTTCTTGGTTTTATGGAAAGTGGAATTATTCTTTGCAAATCATTTGTTTAGGCTTTGGAAAATTATCTTTTTGACTTTATATAATCTTATTTTCTCTGTTTTATTTTGTTTTGTTTTCCTTTAGACATTGGAGCATATTTCTCTCCTTGTTTAAACTGCTTTCCTTTCCGGTCATTAATTGATGAATGTTGGGGACTCACCATGTGTTTCACATATGTTGTATGACATATATACACATGTGTTGTATGACAGTGTTCTTAAAAGTTGGACAAGGTGCTTGCATTTTGTCTTTAAAAAAGGCATAATTAGAACTAATGTAAATTTACAGTAGCCACGATTGCATCATCCTAGAGAACTCTGCAGCAGTGGATGGAGGAAGAGTCATGAAGGACAATTTGCAAGGCTGACATATATTAATGTTGGTAACAAGATGTGAGAGCACACCATGTATACCTCTGGGAAGCAAGTAGGGAAAAGATTAGGAAACAGAGGCCAATTCAATATTGCATTGCTTTCAATTGGCAAATCAAATTTAAAACAATCTTGAAGTTTTGAATAAGATAAATAGTATAACACTTTATAAAGTAGAAGTGATTCTGTAGCTGAGAGAAGCTTCCTGTAGCTTTACAAGCTTTATGTGAAGCCCCTCAGTACTCTTTACACAAATGTTTTGTTTTGATTTTTTTTTTCTAGACTGTGTTCGAGGCCTTTTTTTTTTTTTTTCTTAGCAAGCACATCGACCCCCAAGGACTGGACGGGTTCACAGGGAGGGTGACAAACAGAAGAGAGGTTTAAAATAAAATTACATACAATTAAAAATGAAGTACTTTAAAAATTAAAAAAATAAGTTGGGGGGGTGGTGCCTGGGTGGCTCAATCGGTTAAGCTGCTGACTTTGGCTCAGGTCATGATCTCACAGTTCATGAGTTCAAGCCCTGCATCTGGCTCTTTGCTGACAGCTCAGAGCCTGGAGCCTGCTTCAGATTCTGTATCTCCCTCTCTCTCTGACCCACCCCTGCTCACGTGGTCTCTCTCTCTCTCTCTGTCAGAAATAAATAAAAAACATTAAAAAAAATTTTTTAAATGAAGTGCTTTTACTTCCTTTCCTTTATTCTTTTAAAACAAAACTCTTCAATGAAGGAGTGAAAGCATGGAGCAGAAAGGGACTAAAACTGCATATGGACATGAAGAGATAAAGATGAAAAGTTAAAGAAGAAATCAAGAGAGCGAGATGAATGTGCCAAAGTATAAGAAGTCTAAGGGCTCATCTGGGAAATAATAAATGGTCCCTGACTGTAATATTAATGTTACTGATTTTTTTCTATTAAATCCCAGAGGAAAGTACCATAAATGTTTATGAAAATAACTCCTATTGCATAGTTAGTTCAAAAACCTTCATTTCCAAATAAAAAGAAAAAATTTAAAGAGTTTGATTATAACACATAACAAACTTTTGCAATATGTTTGTGCTTTTTGGTTGATGATGATGAAGATAAAGTCCTGCAACCCTGAATTAACACATACTACACATTAAGTTGTTGCAACAAGTGTGATTATGCTTTAAGGCAAGGAAAGGACAATAACTGTCTTATGTGTATGTTTCCATATCTCCATGGATAGTCAGGGCAAATTTTCACCTTTACATAAATTTGGAAGTTTTGACTATTATATGGGACTAGACACTTTAATTCTTAAGCTGAGATTTGAGAAAGAACTAAAGATCACGGAATGGTTTTTTTTGGCTGAAAATGACCAGAAAAGTCATGATACCCTGTATTTTATCCAAGGAGAAAGAAAAACTAGAAAAGGTTTGAATAGGTAGTAAGAGATCAGAACTACATTTTCTGATAACATCATACAGGACATTTGTGTATTCAAAGTAGCAATTATACCTAAGTGAATTTCAAAGCAAATTAACAACATCACACTTTTAAAAACATAATGAAGTGACAATGGTCATTAATAATAAACAATAGAAGGTAAATGTTAAAATAAAGATTTTCCAGTTGAGGTCCAAAAAATCCACTAATGCATTTGGGAATTAAAATATACTGAATTTGCCAGTCATAAAGTTCTAGGTTAGGTGAAGAGGTAAAAGTTCTCTTACTGATGAGCTATATGATTCCACAATAGAATATTAGGCAGTAACTTGGAAATATGGTTATGTATAGATAAGTAAAATTTCCACATTTTTCTTGAGTGACTTTTAAAGCTTTCAAAATGGTTAATATAGGTTTTTAGGTGGTAAGCCATTTTACTGATAGATGGTCTGATAATACTGGCAATTAAAATAGTTGGGAGCTATATAAAAATGTTTTTCAAATATCTTTTGGCAACACAAACTACCTTACATATAGCTCTCAAAAATGAAAATGTTTCAATCCGAAGAGACGACAATTTTAAAAGTCTGGAATACTGAGAAAACATAAGTCACTATGATTTTCCATCTCAAGTTTCTACTAAAGAGATTTATGTAATATAATATTTTTTATTCTTTCTTCAATTATAATAATTGTATACCAATCACAGCATTTTATTTGTAGTTTGGCAATATATGTTATTTTGATGCAAGATTTCATGTGATTTACTAGAGAAAATGAATCATGGTGTGGAGTAAAGATGTCCAATTCATTTGGTAATAAATGAATCAATGGATGAATGATGAATAATTTCATTAAAAAGAAATCATGGAAGAAACAAATTGAGAGGGAGGGGTGAAAAAAGAAAAGAAGGAGAAAAGGAAGAAAGGAAAGGAGGAAGAAAGAAAGAAAAAAGAGTTGAAGGTAGGGAAAGAGAAAGGAAAATAATGGGTAAAGACCGAAGTTTCCTGAAGAAGAAGGATTTCTTCTCAAGACAGCAACATTACCCAAATTTCCAACTTATTGGACTACCCAGATTTTGGATCTCCAGTACCCACATTGCATGAATCAATTCCTTAAAATAAATCTCTCTGCATAGATAAATGATGATGATGGTGATGATTAGAGATAGAAAATAGATACCAACCCCCCAATAGTTCTATTACTCTAGAGATACTGACCATTCATATTTTTATATTTAAACTAATAATTTAATAATTTCCATGGAACTTTACATTATGAACTCAAAACTCTTATAGGATAATGCAGTCCTTACAGTCTTTTTTTTAATGTTTATTTATTTTTGAGACAGATAAAGAGAGAAATAGAGTGTGAGCAGAGGAGGGGTATAGAGAGAGAGGGAGACACAGAATCCAAAGCAGGCTCCAGAGCCCAATGCAGAACTAGAACCTACGAACCAGTGTTCATGACTTGAGCCAAAGTCAGACGTTTAAACTACTGAGCCACCCTGTTGCCCCCGCAGTCCTTACAGTCTTAAACCAATCAAGGCTGTTCTGACAGTCAATACTGGCATTCTAATCTTGTTTTAGTGGATTACATAGACCAACTCCCACCACCAAATATATTTATTTCTAGACATCCTCTGGTGTCATAAAATCATAAGAAATGGATTGTGTGGGCAGAGAAAATGATCAAATGAATCATCTGTAAGCAGGAAAAAAAAAAATCAGAAAAACATAGTAGACTAATGGAGAATATCTAAGTGTAAGTAATCAGATCAGTTTACTCATTTGTGGCTAATAATAAGTTATTAGTAAACTTTGTAAACTGAGAACTTTGTAAAGAAAGATTTAAAAAAAAAGAATTATGAAAAAAGATGGCCTGCTTTTGAAGTAGTCTTGTTTAAGAAAGAAATTTCTTTTATTAGTGTAATTATACCTACTGGAAAAAGTCTTCTTAGTCCCTTAATATCATACCATCATAATCCTACAAAAGCATTATAAGTTTTTAAATCTTTCATGAATTTTCCACATCAATAATTATTTTAATGTTGGCAATGGCATGTTTCTCATCATAAATTCCTCTGTGGATTAGCTAAAATATTAGAAAATTTTTCTTGTTGAAATGCAATGTTGCAAGATGTTTTTATCAGAAACACAATATAATAGTAATGTACACAATAAGTGAGAAGACTGCATATAGACATTTAGGGTTCCTGGAAGTCTCACCCTGAAGATCAATGAACTTTCCCAGTAACCTCTAAGC